CTTAATCAATTATTTTATAAAAATTAACTTAAAGCAACTTTCTTATTATTGGAATTGAAGTTGACTTGTTTCACTTTTACAAATCCGTATAATTCCAAACCATCAATGAGGGGGAAAAAAAAAAAAAAAAACCTAGTAATGAAAGGTGCTTATATTGTTAGTTATCAAAAACAATTTGTTCTTGACTTGGTCGAAATAAAAGTGAATAAGTCGAGATGTTTCTCTACCTAAAAGGTGAAATTCTTTGACAATTGACTTTTGAATAAGACGATGGTTTAGAAAGTCACATTTATGTTAAACTTTTGAATCTTTGCAATTATATTTATAATTTACTTTTTTACTTTTTTTTTTTATATTTATTTTGAATATGTTGCCATCACATTCTCTCAAAATTCATAACTAATTCGATCTCATTCACCGTATTAAACGTTTCATTCAATATATATTTGCTCTAAATTGCCTCCATTATTTGATATTATAATTTTTGGAATAGTGTTTTTTTTTTTAAAATGTGTGATTCAAAAACAATGAAAAGTTTTTAGTTTATGTGTAATATTATTTTATTAGAGAATGTGTGACTAAAAAAAGAAAAAAATATATATTATAAATTAATGGGGGCAAAACGAGGGCATTAATATGACCTCGATGGACTTCATTGAATTATTCTTGCAAGTCCATGACTCAATCTCCTTGTGATCAAATGCAAACTAAATTTGCAATATCTTATTGCAATAGGATATATCAAAACGTGATAAAATATAAACACGATGATAGACCCGAAGAGACACAAAAAAGAAAGGGAAAAAAATGAGAAGAGTTCAAACTGTGCTTTAAAGTTTTGATCACTTCGAAATGCCTTTGACGAACGCTCCCGAATTGTATATAGATAGCATGCATAATTTATCTTTCTTTCTTGGGTGTGTCTATTTAACTATGCAAATGGATTCTCTCCATATGCTTAGGTGCAAGAGAAAGCATAAAGAGACCCACCAAACCCTTTTTTTTTTTTTTTTTCTTCGTTGGAAACCCAATCTTCTCTCTCTCACGTTGTCACCCACACAAACACACAAAAAAAAAAAAAAAACAAAAAAAAAAAAAAACAAATAAAAAATAGAAATAAAAAAAAAAAAAAAACCCCACTAAAAAGACCCACACAAACACACTAGATTTGAAATAGACTAGTTAAGTGGAAAATAACTAAGAGAAAAATGGGCTTTCAAAGGGATTATTCAGAAATGTGTAATTATGTAATTTTTGGAGCACCTGATTTCGTATTAAAATGTCAACCTTATCAAGAGTAATATAGGTTTTTATACATTGTTTAATAATTTCATACGTGAAATTGTATCCTTAATATGTCCCACAAGACGAGGGCCTGTTTGAACATATCAATCTTGGAATCGGCGTGCTCGTTTGAGTTTTTGTCGAATTGAATTTCTTATTGGATATTAATGAGCTCTGATACTATTTTAAAACTTAATATTCCATCTTAAAACGTCAATTTTATTTAGAAGGGAAGTACAAACCCTTATATTATTTATTCGTTTATATTTATTCGAATTGGGGTTCTACCCTTACCACTAACTGTAATTCTGAATCGCTCACGAAAGACCGTTCTGCGAATTTATAAGTACTATGGAAATGTACCCTTTCTTTACAAGCTGAATATTTTTTTTAAATGAATTGTAACCAAATAGATTGTTACACGATAGTTAGGGTTTGGCACGCTTGGAGTGAATGGTTGTGGTGCAAAAGGGTTAGAAATGGGTAACACATGCAATCACATGATAGTGCATATTTCACGCCATTCGCCCATGCAAATGAACACAATCATTATATTTCACATATATTACAATAAGAGTGGGGACAGCAAAGAGGACCATATATGTTCTCTGTGGGATAAAATCGAAACCCTACAATCATTATTTATGTTAGTTGAATTTCATTGCCTGTGTACGAACCAGCCAGCTATATCTTTGAGGGATGATCGTTCAATTAATGATTCTTGCTGAATTCTGCATAATTTACTAAAGCTGATAGCAATGTGATTAATTTCCATATAATTGTAGAATGTAGTTAGCATAATTCATAATTATCAATTGCTTTTGATTATTTATTGCCATTTATGTTCAGAGAATTTGTTAAGAGAGTTTATTTCATCTTTGGAGTTTGTTGTTGAACTATGGAGAAGTAGTCGTGGAGACAACAAACTCCAGCATAGTGATAATGATTAGTTCGATTTTCTTGGTTTTACTCGATAAACATTTTAATCGGGGGAAGACAAAAGATTAGATTTTAACGTGGACTAATGGATTAAACATAGACTTTCGGGTGGGGAGAATTTATTTTTGGTTAATTTTATAAAGTAAAATTAGAAAAGAGAAGTTTGCGTAAAATAATAAAAAAAATGAATTAATTAGAAGATACTTTGAAATGTTTTTTATTACTAAAATAATGTGTTCACATATAACATATCGAGTTGAACTCATCCATAGTTGATAACCACCTCTACTAAAGACCATGACCACCTCCACGACTCCACAATCAACGCCTAGTACAAACCCTACCTCATCGCCATCACTAGATATCAACGCCACCAACACCAACACAAATGCCGAAAGGTTCACACAATGACAAAATCTGATTCCAGCCAAACTCTAGCAAATCCCTAACACCTTCTTCCACCCACCACCATCGCCAAATTTGAAACTTCGAATTCTGAATATCATATCTGAAAAACAAATGATAAGAAAGGGTGTGGAGAAGGAATATGCGATGATGGTGAGAGTGGTTTCAAATGTTGGCTGGATTGAAGAACTATGGAAAAAATGTTAATTAGAAATTAAATACAATAACCAATATTTATTGGAATTATGAAGAAATATGGCGTATCGTGAATAATTTCCAAAAATAAAAAATAAAAAAATTGGACAATTTTATGAAGTTAATTATGAAATAAAAATTTGTTATGTCCTCTGGTCATATAGCTTCCCATAACTACAAGATCATGAATAAGACAAAACACTAATAAGTAACAACTTTTATGCAAAAACGTATTTGTTAGACTTTATATAGCTCAAAGTGGAGTTATCAAATGCATTGTTTATAGGTTTTTGTGAAAACCAAAGTCAATATATTGGAAAATGGTTTGCTTTTGAGTTAAAATAGTTTTACAAAGAGAAGAGTACTGTTATAAAATAATTTATTGAAGAAAACTTTTAAACATGGGAATGTGGAAAGTGGGTCACGTTTCACATTATGTAGTCTCAGCAATTTTTAAATAAGATAAGAAAGAAACCACTCAAGTCAAGAGAGGTTGGTATAGATATTCAATATTGTTCACAAATGAGATTAAGCAGGTTTAAAATCAGATTTTTAATAAATTTTGTTAAAAACAATGATGAAATGTGTGTAGGGATGGCAACGGGGCGGGGGGTTTTATTTAATTAATTTCTTATTAAAATACAAATTCAAAATTTTAAAATTCAAAGCAAATAATGTTCAAACTAACTATATCAATATCCAAAGCAAGCATTCGAAACAAAAAATGTCCAAAACAATTTTTTTTTATTCTTCCCGCCCCGCCCCGCCAACCCGTTCGGGGTGGGGCAGGGCAGGGCTGGGCGGGGAAAATTGCCTTCTCTAAATGTGTAAGTGAAAAGTTGTGGGCCTCATACAATATATGGTTGAAATTTAATTATTAATTTTGACTTATATTAAAATCTAAATTTTAATTACTACCAAACGATGGCTAATTCTATATATTTATCAACGATGTTAGAGAAAAATAATGAGTTTAAAAATGTAAAAAGATACATAAAAGTTGTTACAAATATATATAAATTTCACTTACCAAAACTCTCCCAAGTATAGTAAGAAAATAATATCTTAAGCTTTATCACACATCAGTTTATACTCCTCGAACAAGCCGAAAACAAGAAAATTCATAATGCTACTCACGTCACCAAAAAAAAAAGAACTAACACGTATACATAATAAATAATGAATATGTGCTTGTCCAAAGAAAAGTATTATGGTACTTCTATTTATTTTCAGGATATACAATTGATGTCCTTTTATTTCTTTTCAATTTTGAGACAATACTATCTTTTAATCTTTTAGTGTCGAAAGAAAGCAAGAGTAGTATTTGATCGAGTACAAGTTTTTGTGTGCCCTTTTAAAATTCAAGACCACTTCCTTTATTTTCCCCACATTTTTGTGGTCTCTGCCCACATTTTCTAATTTGCCCCTTTGGGCTTTGGCCCAGCCTTAATGAAGTTTTTGGACTTAAAGGTCATGTGTGCGTTGGGCCTAATACATTTATCGCTTTTTTGAATTTTGTCACTTTTTTTTTTGTCACCTTTTAAGAAGATAAAAAAAGAAATAATATGTCATATTTTCCTAACATAATCAGCATGTGGATTGGCCTGAATACCAGTGCTACCCAAATGGATGGTGCTATTTTGGTATTTGTCACTTTTTTTTTTGTTTTGTCACTCTTTTTTAGTTCGTGTCACTTTTTTTAAAAAAGTAAAAAAGTGACAATTTTTATTAAAAAAGTGACATTGTGTCACTTTTTCAATTTACACAGTATTTTTTAATTTCTAAAAACTTTTCATATGATTTTTCAAAACATCACTAATTTTAAGGGTATTTTTGTGAAGTACCCATTTTCTAATTTGCCCCTTTGGGCTTTGGCCCAGCCTTAATGAAGTTTTTGGACTTAAAGGTCATGTGTGCATTGGGCCTAATACATGAGTTTTATCATTGGGCTTATGTTTCTATCATGCTGAAAATGGAAAATAAACCCCAATTCGGTTCAAATAGAATCAGATTTTTAATAGAAATTTTTTTTTTAAAAGTCCATGGAATATGTAATTGAAAAGTCACGAGTTCCATAAAACTTGTGGTCAAAATTATATATTGACTTTGACTTAAATTTTAACGTGACTAAACCAAACTGGGGCTAAATAAGAAAGTTGATGTAGTTAGACTAGTTAGTAGTTAGTAGGTCCAAGTTATGATAGTTATGAAATCCAAACGTGCGGCTGTAAAACATGATGCCTTATCTACACAAAAATTGTGGTAGTTACACTCCATTTGTTTTCGTCGCTTCATCTTCCCAACTCTCAGACTGCAATACTTGAAGAATTTCCTCTCCTAAATCATGGCGTCTTTCACTGTATTCCCCGTCACCCCGTCTCCGGTAAAATCATCGTCAAACTCGTTTCAATCCTTGGTTTTATTCATACAAATATGCTTACGCAACTTTGTTATTTTCTGGCCAGTTGTGCTCTAGTAAGAATGGGATGAACTCACCTTCACAAGCAGCGCTCATAAAATGCATGAGAAGCAGCCATTTAGTTCAAAAGGAGAATAAGATGAGGGTCTCGTGCATGGCAAGTATTCCTGCAGATGATCGAGTGCCTGATATGGGAAAGAGGGAGCTCATGAATTTGCTTCTTTTGGGTGCTATTTCACTTCCCAGCGCCGGCATGTTGCTTCCTTATGCTGCGTTCTTTGTCCCACCTGGGTAATTTTCCAATTCTTTTCATATTTCCTGTAATAATCCTGTTGAAAGTCCAGTTTGATTCTTGTTGTCGGGTTGTTAAATCCATCGGCGTAAACGTGAATTCAATGCATTGATGATTTGTATGCTACCAGTGCGGTAGAAAAGCATTACTTTAGCTTAAATTTTAACATTTTTATTAGGATTTAACACCCTTTGAATGTAATTCTTATCGTTTTTGAAAGAAAGCAGCAATTTGGAATCTAGAAAAGTCAATAACTTGGAAGAATTACGAACAAGGGGCATTATGCTTCATTGCTTCTTTGCTGACTAAAATTTAAGATGTTGGAGACGAAGCACACACATTTGTATCTTTACCAAGAGAGATATTTTGATGATAATTTTTTATGAATTGTTCAGATGTATCGAAGCTTTTGGGCATTAAGATGTAAATTCTACTTCTGTGCTGCTATTCGCCTTCGTCCTGTCTCGGTCATCTAATAATCATATGGCGTAACATTTACTTTCTATTACAATTTGTATCTTATATAAGGCTATCAATTCAATTATTTCATTTATGGATGTAAAACAATAGCCTGTCTTCTTTCTGTTCTTCTGTTTCGTGAACTGGAAAATTGCGGTGCAGTCTTTGCCAATTCACATTTTGTCTATACTATGTATATTTCAGCTTTTTTGACACTATGGTCTCTAGTTTCTTTCTCTGTCATTCCATACATCACAATTTTACATGTTAATGCGTGCCAGGGCTGGAGGGGCTGGTGGTGGAATTGTAGCCAAGGATGCATTAGGAAATGATATTCTTGCGGATGTATGGATCAAAAACCATGGACCTGGGGATCGGACCCTTGCACAGGGATTGAAGGTAATTTTCGTTTTTAAGTATCAGTTGAATTTCCATTGCTATTTGAGGTGAGTAGTACAACAGACCAGGGGATGATGCATAAAAGGTTTCACTTGTAGCATTTGGAAGGCAAAATATATAAAGAGAATTTTGTGCTTAATAATCTTGTGGTCGATACAAGACTATTCATTAAGTTCTCTTGTGGATGAAAAAAATGAGTTGATTCCGCATTGTGTGATCTGAGACATAACCCACAAATTTCCATGCAGTAACGGTTCCATTTGCGAAAAAGAGACTTGCTAGAAAAATTGTAACAGACACTTGAATTCTGATGAGTTAGGCCAATGACATTACCAAACTTTAGGTACATTGGTTGGTAACAATGCTATTCTTGCAAAATCTGAGGAAAAAATGTCAGGTCAACAAGAAGAAACGTCTACTAATTTATTTCAAGAAAAAGTAATCTATATAGTGGTAATTGTTGCTTAATTATTATTATGTTTGACCTACAAATCTAAACCTGGTCACCGCATCTCATTACAGCATTTATGGTTGTTTTTGGTTGGTATTTTTAGCTTCTGTTATATGAGCATGAGCAAAATTGATACTTGGTTCAAAGTATCGAAATGAGAAGTAAACAGTATGACAGAACAAAATGTGTAGACAATACTTGTCTGTACACAGGTAACCAAATTGTGGGCTCTAGATATTAGCTACATAGTTGTGATGAAATAAATTTCAGGGGGATCCGACCTACCTTGTTGTGGAGAATGACAGAACACTGGCAACATATGGCATCAATGCTGTATGCACTCACCTCGGCTGTGTGGTGCCATGGAATACTGCTGAGAACAAGTTCATCTGCCCCTGCCACGGATCGCAATACAACAATCAAGGAAGGGTTGTTAGAGGACCGGCGCCATTGGTAAGTGCAACAAAGTTATGCAATTTTTATCATATTCCGAGATAAACTATATTAGAATTCTGCTTATTTCTTGTTGTCTTCTTTTTGTTGATGTTTCACCTTACCAAATTTACTGGAACAGTCGTTGGCCTTGGCTCATGCTGATGTTGATGTCGATAGTGGGAAGGTAGTGTTCGTTCCATGGGTTGAAACAGATTTCAGAACTGGTGAAGCTCCATGGTGGGCTTAATTACATTGATTATACTTCCCTTGTGTATATCATATATGGTTGTATGAATTTTTCAATCCATGAAGGAAAACCTTGATTCAGTACTACAGCATTTGCTATCGAGTGGCATTTTGGCATGCTTGTTACTTGTACATCCTTATGCAAAATTTGAACTCTCTCTGTCTCAATTTTTTCTCTTTCGTGTTTTTTTTATTTTTTCTTTTCTATTAAATAAATTTGAGTTCTAGATGAACTCAATGCTTATGATATTTCTGAATTTAATCATTTATTTATTAGATATCAATGACACGTGAATTAAAAATTTAAATTTATTTGTCCACCACGGAAAACTAACCATAGAATGCACTAGAATGCTCTTAGTATTTTATATATTGTGCTTTCAAATTTGTTTTTTAAAAATGTGAGAGTCATGATTGCGGTATTTGAAGTTACTCGTCAGCAACTCGTTTGATTTTAATATCCACGCCAGCGATAAATATTAAATTAACTAACACATGCTTTGACTACATTTTGCATTTAAATTTAAATTCCTTAACTTGATTGCATCAAATGATAATTCAGTAATTCCTGATCTTAGGCCTCGTTTGATAGCACACATATTTCATGAAAAATGGAAAAAAATTTCTATTTTCCAACTTTTGTAGTGTTTAATAGACAAAATTTTCCTTGAAAAATATTTTTCAACTTTCCAAATTTTCCATATTTTTGAGGAAAATAAATTCTTTATGTTTTAGTGAGTAAATATTTTCCAGTTTTTTTTTTTCCCAGAATTGAAAAAAATTCTCGACACAATGATAAAATTTTTTTCACTTTTATTAACAATTTTCATGCAAAACAAAGTCAAACGAATGATATTCAGTATGGTTTTTTTTTTCAAATTTTTTTTGATAATTGGAACAAATTCTAGACTCAATAGTAGAAAATATTATCACTTTAATGGAGAATTTTCGTAAAAAATGAAGTCAAACGGATACCAAATTTTCAATATTTTTGTTGAAAAATTATACCAATTAAACACAATTAATTACAATTCTCAGTAAAACAATTTCTAAACAAATCAATTCCATGTAAAACATTTTATTTCTACCAATTTTCCACATTTGCAATCAAATGGACCCTTATTTCACTAAAAATCAAATGATCCGCAATGCATTTTGCCTCGAATTAACATGTATTCCAGGACAAATGAAACAATATTCTTTTAAGTGTTAGAGCATCTTTAAGACGATTAAACAAATTGAATATTCTCCCAAGTCATTTGAACTGTCGGATTCCCCGTGACTGCTTACAATTGTATAAGGATAAATGACAAACATCCAACCGTGATTCTCTCCCTAAAACATAATTTTTAAACTCTAAATATTTGTTTCCCTATGAATTGTTTTAGATCTAATCGATATTTTCCATGTTTGGGTTCAAATATTTATGCGACCAACATACTTAATCTAGGGAGTTGTCCGTTCTTGAAATTCGAAGGCATCTTATAGGTATATTTAATGAGATATAATTCAAAAAAAAGAAAAGGAAATGCATATATTTAATTTACCATAGCAAAAATTGGAGCATTGGACGGTAGTCATGATATTCTGCTGGCAAAAGAACTTTAGTCATATTTAATTGAAATTTGCTTGTCACGTAAGTCGTGAGAAATTTTTATTTTGTCCATAGAGATGAGAACATTTCTAATGAAAATAGTAATAATTAGGAGGTCGCAAGATGGTCTATAAACTTAGTAGAAACGTAATTATGGCCATCTAAGATGACAGTAATAGTGAGATTTCCTCGGACTACTGGTAAATAGAAAATAGGGTCTGAACGTGACCTGAAATTTACAGCGTGTGAAAGGACAAAAAATGACCCCGATTCCACCTTTGTCAACTAGCTTCACGTGATGCCCCGACACATCACAATCACATACACAAAAAAGCAAGGGCAACATGTAACTTAAGAACAAAATAACCCCAACCAAACCCACGACCCTACACAAAAAGAAATCCAAGAATGATTAAGAGCAAAAGTTGAATCAAAGTCCTAGCAACTCGAAATTTTGTACTAGCTAATCTTGACGATGACGAATCGTATTTATCGAACTGTAGCGAGTCGACAGCCAACGGCATGTTCTCCTGATCGGGACTGCACTTGGACTCGTGGGGAGGATGTGCACTGTACATGATAGCTCGCAACGCGGCCGAGACAGTTGGTATGTACGCCGTCTTGTTACGTGCCAGTAGCCACGTTAGTCCCATCAATTGGCAATCTCGACTCAACATTTTGCTAGCACGGTCACTGTTTTCGCGGCCTAGTTCTTTTCGATTTTTACCATCACCCGTCAACTGCAAAAATAATCACAACCAAGGGCAATTCAGACATTTCAATATTCACAATCTTAAGCTTGGGTGGAAAAAGAGAAGCAGCTTTTCTTGGGATCAAAATGACTCATTTTCTAGTTTCTTGAAAATATTGAAGTTTCGCTGACCTTTTGAAGAGCACCCAGGCATCTAGTACAACCAGCATAAGAAGAATTTTTGCAATTATATTCCAAATTCCTAATAGCAGCAGTGGGAGTAACATTTCTGTAATTCCCGGTAATGTTAAACGCGGCGGGGCAGCTCAAAGAGGTGATTTGGTGGAGCCGGATGCCACAGAAGCACAACACGGCGTCGCACGACGCATTTGGCTGGGGGATGTGAATATTTCGGCTCTGTAACGAGTTTTGGAGTGAATTGACGCACTTCTGCGAATCGTCCGGCATCATCGGCATGTCGGAACTTGCCGGAGGCGCCGCAGATGGCAGCTGCAGAGCCGACCTGGCGTGGGCTGCGAAGAGCCACGCCGCCAGCACTGGGCAGCAACGGCTGCGGTCGAGGTTTCTTCCACAAGCCGCACTCACGCCGCCGAACAACTCAGCTGACAGGTCCAGCCGGCATATCTGGGACTCGTTCTGGACAGGAAAAGCAGGCACTGTATTACCACTGCCAGGATAATCACCGGGTTTTAATGGCTCCGCCGGTTGGGAAAGTAAACCGGCAAAACAGCCATGAAAATATAATGATAATGTAATGATGAGAAAGCTCAATGAATGCATGGAAAAGCTTGATTCTTTTCTCACTAAACTTCCATCGAATACTTTCATTTAAAAGTCCCTTTAGTTAAAGTAGGGAGGGCTAATGTGCGGTGAAAAAGAAGGAGATGAATGATTATTTTTCTTTGGCAAATAGTGCGAGTGTGGATTTGATCCAAAAAGGAGATTCAGAAGTTTATAAAAGAAAGTTGAAAACACCTTTTTTCTTTTTCTTTTCTCAGTGTTCTCTGTCAAAAGTAAAGGGATTTGACACGATTATCAAGATAGGGTTCACGAAAAATATAATAATTTCATGAACGTAATTATTGAAATATCGTGTTATATATTTTATTGAAGGTGGCGTATTGCGTGAAAGAGAATCGCGGGTGCAGATAGGAAACAGAGAGAAAGACGAGAGTGAAAGGTAAAGGGTGTCTGAGAATTTGGCAGCTTCTGGTGTCCTTTTCTATTTCATTCTCTTCTCCTCCTCCAACCCCACACCAACGACTCCCCTCCTCTGCATCGTATTGGTGATTAAAAAATGAAAATGGAGCTATTGAATTTCCAGTTATTTCCGCTGTTAGTAGGTAACTTGTAGGACTTTTAGCTGGGACCGGAACTTCTGTTGAGAAAATGAAGGGAAATTGAGGAGGAAAGATTTAACTTTGTAGTGTAAAACGTAAAAGGGTCGAGAACAAGAAGAAATAAATAAATTGAAATTTTTGTGCATAATTGATTGAATTTCGCATATAATTCTAAATTAGAAACAATGAATGTCATGTTTGAGTGACATTATGATCATTTTTGAATTGTGACTATATTATAAAATATGTTCTTGATCTCGAATAAAATAATAAAGATGAGTGTTACCATCATCTTTGGACAAGTGTTTTTAGTAGTTCACAATAAGACCGTGTTTGATGGGCCACATTTTAAAAAAAACCATGATTTAGGAATTACATAATTTTAAAAATCAAAACAAATATGATTCCAAAATCAAAATAAGTAAAATCCAAGATAATATAATTAATAATTATAAATATGAAATTACTAAAATTTTATATGGAAAGATAATGGAAAAAAGTAGTACTTCTCAGTTGACAAATTGTAACTAATGGCCGCTGTGTAAAGACGTGAATTCAGAGTCATATCATCAATGTCGACCTTTAACACGACACAAAACGTGAACAAAAAGGTAATTGCGTTGGAAAGTGAGGGCATCTTTGGGATTTAACCTTATTCTGATTATGAACATCCGGCTCCTCTTGTCTGAAATGAGTTGTTCTTCTATATATACCCACCCAGACAAGACTCTGCTTGACGACCCATGGGCCATGGCCATGGCTATGGCTATGGCAAGGGGGTGGTAACCCCACTAACGAGTTGAAAAACGATTATTTTATATGAGTCACTTGTAGATTCGTGCGAATCGTCTCAAGAGCTCATCAGTTCGTGCATGACTTGACTCGTCAATGATTTGAGAGACGATTCATCGTAATGCATAAAAATGTAACATTACAATAGTGTTTAACGCCAATTTAAGCATTAATTTGCCTTATTGGTTAATTGTCCAATGAATCAAAATTTATCCCAATTTATGGACAATAAATCAGTGACTCCTCCTATATATACACAAAGTGTTGTGACTTGTCTAAGTATCGAAAAATATCTAAGTAGATGGACGTATTAAGAAAGGATATGGACTCGATCATGCAAATATATGTTCCTAATATTAACAAGATGGTATTGTAAATTTTGTTCATATCCAATGCATTCTGAATGCATTAGTAGAGTCTATATAGAAACTACCACTTCTATGATCATAAAGTAGATGACAACAGAATAAATTGTTCAATTTGTGCAGAAAAAAATTCACAGAAATGCAACAGAATAGAGACAAACGAGGGTCCCACCGTGTATTTAAAAAAAATGTGCGGGCCCCATCCATGTGTGGGTATTCTGTTGCAATTCTGTGAAATTTTTTTCTGTATGTGCAGCACTTCTCTAAACATTTTGATCGAGTGCCATGTACTTTAGCCTTATTTTATATACACATAAAACCAATCAGAAGAAAGTGGGCAAATTTTTTTAAAAAACGCACTTTGGAATTCGATCAAAATGAACCTATTTAATGTCCGGACAAGGACCACATGAAGGGTCCACCATCGAAAATCCCGTAGAAGAATATATTTCCGTCGGTGATGACATCTGGCGACGCATTAATTTTATGACTTGAAATTCCGCTAATGCCACTAATTATTGTTTCAATGATTAGTGAAACTTTATCGTCATACATAAAATATTGTGACGGAAAGCATTAAAAGTGATTCTCAATGTGGAAGTCTTATTCACACTGAAGAAATAATATCTGAAGGTTCTTTAGGTGGGATTAGGATTATAAAGTGGCTTTATCAATCAACACGAAGTGTGCCGAAAAGTTCGATTTGAAGTTTTGATTCCCTCCCGAACAAATCTATAGAGATGGCCCTACGGTGGGACTAGGAAGGTGACCTCAACGTAAACGTGGTGAGTGAGGGGTGGTTCAATTCGAGTATTTTGAGAACTCGATTAAATTGTTAAAGATCTAAATCTTATACATTAAACTATTCGATTACAATAATAAAACTGTATTGGGCTCAATTTCGATCTAAAATAAATTAAAAATGTTAAGCAATAATGCATGTGTTTGATACTAAATTCTTATGAAAACCATTTCACAACTCAAGATAATATATACTTGTTCAAAGTTTTAATAATTTAGTCCCTATTTGGTTGTGATTAAAATCTAGATTTTAATTTAAGTCAAAGTTAATAATTAATTTCAACCACATATTTTATAAGGTCCACAGCTTTTGAACCACATATTTCATCAACTTTTATTAAAATTTACTAAAAATCTGGTTTTAATTTCCACAAAACAAGGACTTATTCACTTCTTGATTTCAATCTAATCATGCATATTGAACTATGCACACAATACATGAATTACGAAAGAATCAATGTAAACAAGTATTTCCATAGCAAGAAAAATTTGCCGACAGAAGCCCGAAGACAATAAGTCCCTATGAAAATTCCTTAGGACAACATACCAATTTCCTTAGGATAGTCCTCAATATATGAAATTTACTACAAAAATTCCAACATGATAAATAGTCATAAATTAAGGACCAATCGGAAAACTCTAGAATGATAAATATGAATTGTTGACCTAGGTTTCTCCATGGATGACGTGGCCAACCAAATCTTGACTCCACTGATGTCTACGTAATGTCTTGCCTACACATTTAGACAAATAGTTAGCAACACGTGACCTTCTTTGAAAGTTGGGAGGCGATCACATGCACTTCGACAATCAAGTCAATGTTTACAAGAATGTGTTTTGAGTGTAGGATATACTTAGACGTGAACCACAAAGGTGTTCGAATACTGAAGGTTTGATAGAACTGATTTATAGGGGGTGAAAGAGGGAGAGTAATGTTAGGGTTGAGTGTGTAACAATGCATTACTTTCAAATGACACTAAGTTTGAGCTTTTATAGTAGAAAAGAAGAAAATGATAGCTATTGGATGAAGAGACACGTATTCTTATCTTAACCATCAAGACGTGTTGTCATGGGCGCTATTTTTTCAATCATAGACTCAAGTACATTTAATATTTCTGACAATTAGTTACCCTATGGCTTAAGCCTAACATGTAAGAAATAGATTGACAAGTTGACTTAGTAGAGTTGCTGCTGTAGAGAGATCATATCAATTAATCACAAAAGATCTTGTCCAAAAAATCTTTTAGGAAAGCGAGTTCATATGTTTAGAGGTTATTCACCTCGGATTGGCACTGCAATGCTTCACATTGCCTTGTCCATGGAAGTTCAACCTCTACATGGGGGGTTTGGCCTCTCAATGAGGGTTCAACACCACCCAAATCGACATCACCACACCAAATCCACAATAACTACCTCCAACACCACCTTGAATCCACCACCAACCCACCACCACTTACACTTCAATCCACCTCCACCTCCACCTCCACTTCTAATCCACAACCACCACCATCTACAGTTGCAACATGCCACGAATCCACCACTGACGTAGAAGCATAGACGTCAGATTTAGAAGCATAGATGCACACTACCATAATCAGATTGGTCTAATTGATGAAGACACATGACTGGAGTTGTGGCAGAATAGGGTGTCGATGCCATAGGTATAGTCCATCCTGATAACGATCGGATTCAAGGTTTTTGAAATTCCCAATTCGCGACTTTGAAAGCTTTTGGACCCCACATGGTGTTGTGGGGCTAATCGTAAGTGAGGTTGTATTTGGAAGGCGATTAAGGGGTTGTATTAAATTGAAACTTTAGAGGACTTTGATGGACTTTTTTTAAGTGATGACTTCTGTGAATTTCGTGGATTTTTTTAGATATTTGTATGTAATTAGTAGAAGTCTTTTGTAAACTTATAAACTTTCATTTTAAAACTTTTAGAGACTTTGTAGAATTTAAAAAACTTTTGAAAACTCTCATTTGAGATGGAATTTATGTAGATCTAGTGCAATATTGTGAAATTATCACTTACGAGTTGGTGGTTCTAACAATGCTGTTTATCCTTCCTCCCCCCATATAATAAAAAAATATTTTTTAAAAAATAAAAATTTAAGACACATGAACGTTAGTAATATTATGTTATGTATTAACAATATTAAAATGCTATCTATCATCTGAAATTTGAAAATAAAACTTTAATACCTTAATATTAAATTTAGTACTTAAAAGGGTATGGTTTTATTTAATTTTTCTCCTAAAAAATTGAATAATGCTACTTATATATAATTGAGTTACATAAATGTTTACATACATGTGATGTGTTAAAAAGAGTCTGGAGAAGTTCTTTTCTACTTGGTTGAAAATTTTCGACTCAATCATATTTCACCACATTATGTGTATGTAAATCATTATGTACTTTTAGCACAAACAAAAAAAATTATCCTCAAGTCCAGCCAAAAAAATCCCTTTTTTAGCCCATCCA